CCAAATCATTTTACAAGAATGTTCTCTATTGTACGTTTGGAAGTGCGAAAGAAGAAAAAATTAGTGAAAGTGCATGTTAAATTACAACATACTGTTTTAGTTAGGCCCTGTACGTTGTTGTACTTAAAATTTTAAAAAACTTGACAACAAACGATATAGCAGAAAACCTTTGCAAGTTTTTCTTTTGAAATCAGTTTGTCAATTCTTCTTTTCTGTGGTGGCATTGAAGTCATCAATTTCAGGATAGCATCTTCCACCTCGGTCATTGATAGATTCAATGGAACAACTGTTTTCACCTCTTCGATCTCATGCATTTTTGGTGGTCTACAAAACAGAACAATACGTTTGAATTTGCGGGAAGCTTGTATTTAACTGTTAAACCAAAACTGCAGTAGATGGCATCTGCGCTACAAGCCGAGCGTGATAGTTGGCTAAAATGTTGAACTTTGGTTTTCAACCGATGCTTTATTCCTATTTTACTGCAGCTCAAATGATAAAAGTAATATTCAATTCTTTGCTTTTTCAATTCGTACTTTTATTTTGAAAATTTTACACCGCCTGTCGATTTAATCAGCAGCCACTTTTCTATTTGACTTACTGATGATAAACATCAGTAAAACCTTTAATATTACAATACCTTTAACAAATTTAGTATTAGAACAGGCTTTGCAAAAGTTATGACACAACTGAAACCTACCGCTTGCTTTGAGCGACATACAAAATGTGGGTGATAACGTTTGCTTCATACTTACCGTTAAATGTTTCTTTTCTCTGTCTAATTCCAAACTATTCAATAAATCAAACAACAAATGCAGTGACTGTTTCTCACTGTTTAAAGTCAAAAAAAACGTTTTTCCGATTACTGGATGCAGTCACAACAAAGGCGGACAAACTCATTCAAAAATTTTTTTGTTGTCGTTTTCAGCGTTCAGCGTGATTCGTGGCAAAAAACTGTTGATTTTTGAAGATGTCAAATTGTTGTAACAGCAGTGACAGACGCCGATATCATTCAAAAACTGACACAAGTTTATTACTTTCTAAGAGCTAACTGTTCTCATAGTATATCACAGCAAATTATAAATAGCTGCCAAACAGTGCAGAAAAAAAGTTGACCCAGCGTAACGTCTTCTAAGCTTCTTGGTGTTTTAGATCACTAGAATTAATGCTTACAAAAACTTATATACTTTGAAATATCTTAGCATTGCATGGTTTCACCTCTTTGTCCAGCAACTTTGACTTCGCTAAACACTCTATGAACCATGTGTTTGATTCGTATCTCCGCTCGTCGTTTAATCACTGTACAATTATTAGCCACCGGAAATGAAGAGGAGTTAAAAAATCATCCAAAGTGCCGTCAATTCCTCGGAAAAGAAATGTCAATTTGGAAAAAGGCAATTTTTGAAACGGCCCACAGAAAAGGATGCACAGGGAGTTGGGGGTGATAGAATGTGTTATTAAATAATCTGCTGTTTTGCAAGATCTTTTGTTTATTCTGTTGTGACTGCTTTCTTTGTGCAACAGTGTTTCTTGCTATACCTCTACAGTCACTAGTCTGCAGTTCTTCAACCTGATTTACTTCAGAAAACTAGACTTTAAATGATGCTTAACCAGTATAATAGGGCAGATTTTTTACTTCATCAGAACTTAAAGTCAAGGTTTCAGAGGTAATGCTTTATTCTTAAGTTTGAGTTTCAATATGCATCACAAACGCTTATGAGCAGAATACGGGTAAAAGTAAAGAAATTGCATTTCTGTAATTGAACGGCTGCTCTTCAAGTTTGTTTAGCAAAGTTAAGCAGTTTAAAAATTATTTGGTTTTCTTAGTACCTCTGTTAAAGGATGAAAAAGTAATGTGGCGCAATCCCGATGATGAATTCAGAAGCCTTAGACATTGCTGGAAACTATGGTCGTTTAACAGCAATACAGTGACAACTTCGACTGAAAGTCCTGCACTTTTGGGTTTATTTGACTCGCTACCTGGCTTTTGGAGGTTTGCTGTTTACTGTCTTCTTAAGTTGTTGATCACTGAGGGCCGTGTTTTCCAAAACTGCACAGATCGGAAAATTTAAAAGCTCTTCACGAACGTTTCTGCGTGGGTTTGCGAAAATGGTAGTTAAGGGATGTTAAACAAATTTTTGTGTTCTTTGATATGCTATACTTTGCGCATCAGAATGCCACTCCTGGTGAACTACCATTTTTTACGAAGCAGAGACCTGCAGCAAGGAGGTACATCTATACTTCCTGCCAGCAAAAATAAGTTTGAAAGTTTTTGGGCTCTCAGACGAAACTTATGTGATTATGTCAACATGCTTTTGATTGATGAAAAAGTTCAGGCTGTTTTATGAGTTTCGGCCAATTGTCCAGTGTAATGGTTACCAGTATTGCTTGTTAAAAGATGGCTATCCACCATATCGACAACATGTCTTGAACAAGAATGGCGGCCGTTGGATAATTGATATAAATCATTCGGAAATGAGGCAAACATTTATATTTTATCAGCTAAAAATTTTATTGTCTCTGATTTTGGGCAGATTTGATGATTATCAGAAGTCTGTTTGCGGTTATAAGGCAGAAATGAATAATCATAGATGTCGGGTAAGTAAATGACAGCAAAATTTTTTATTAATATTTGTTCTTTCAAAATTCAATGCTGTAAAGGGAAATCTACCGCCTCCGTTTTGGACGAAATCTTATGCTTGGCGGAAATGTTACGTGGTCTCTGCTCAATTTTTAAATGATCTGAACTTATAGCCACTTTTGTTTTATTTCCACCCACGGCCATAATATCTTTGAAAAAGGGTTGTACGCCTCTGCATAACAGTCGTGTGCGATTCAGATAGTAGTTCTCCAAAAACTTATTCACTGTTACGAGGTTCAAGCTGAAGCAGTAAAGGTTTTTCTATGTGTTAGCGCATTTTTTAGGCAATTTAGTGGAAACTCACACAAATTTGAAGCATAACACTGTAGGTCTTTCTTAAATTTGACTTCGGTTTAAAATCCTCTTTTTTAGTTTCTACTGATTGTAATTTAAGTTCTCTAACAGCCGCAAATTTTTGCGATTTTAGGTCGCGCAGGACTCACTTTGGTAGCTATCAGCAAAAACATACCTGTGCATGGTTAAGGCTTAGGCTGATTGCTTGATTCTTGCTTACCTTATTTGTTTTTATTTCTAAACTTCGTAAAGAGTTCTACAGATAATATATGATTACTACTTTAGAGATTTTTAGTTATAGAACTGGAACTTTATTGTTTTAAATAATTTTGTTGTCAGGAAGAATCTTTCTTTCTCATGACATGTAGTTTTAAAATTAAGTAGGATGTAGATTCAAGAATTGTGAGGCAGCAGTAAGGTGTAGTTGCGAAAGCTGTACATTACTAGCAGTTCTGTGGCAAAGGAATGCGAAGAAGTATTATAAGTGATAGATTTCTATGAGTTTAAAGGCTTTTGCTCACTTCTCCATCCACGATTCGTAGCTCTATACTCTGCTCAGTCTGGAATTTATGAAATTTGACAGGGAAGAGTGTTCCAGATAGTATGAATAAAGCTGCAGCTTCTTAAATTTTTAGCTTTACTGGAGAAAGCTGACCAACTTAAAATATCCAAAGGCATAAGAAACGAGGCTTTAAATCACTCTAGAAACGTTTCGTTCTTTTAGTCGCAGTAGGGTCCTAAAGTTGGTCGTATACTGCTAAGATCCTGAACTTTGCATCTCGGGCGGTTAGAAAACAAACTCTCGTTTCTGAAATTCCGCTTTGTCCAAAATTAGATGGATCTGAGAAATGATGCTTTCAAGTGCATACTTTTGAGTGAAAAAATCATATATTTTCAGTTAGCACTTTGGATAAATGATGGGACCGACTTGCAAGCGGTTAACGGAATTGGTGCGCTAATAAAAGAGTGCCTTCTCATAACCGAAGGAAAACAGTTTTATTTTGAAAATCATGCGGTAACCTTATTTTTTTACAGCTTTTAAAAAGCATTAGTATTTTTAAAACAGGTAGTCTTGAATTGTTAAAGTTCTGAGAACCAAGGAAAATTTTGTTTTTATCTTTTCCAGTATGCTGCTGATCAAATAAATCAAAGTTTTTCGCTATCATCTAAGAAGATCGATTCATATGTGGACGCTTTAGAAGGCAGATGGAAACTTTTGCTAGGCAGAGCGCCGAAAGATAGTAGTTCCACGGAGAGGCAAAAATTCGCACAACTTGCTCTATTAACCAACATGCAAGAATTTTGGTCGTAAGTGAACATTTACAAATTGATTTTGTTTAAAAAAACCTATCTGGGTCGGGAAATCTAAAACCTGGGAAAAATTTCAAAATTTTTTTTAAAAGGTAGGGTGTTTTTTTGAAACATACTTGCCTTGAGAGGTATACTCTTGCTGTTAATTTTCTCTGACTTTTTTCTTGAAAATTTTTGACGACATTTTTCTTTTCTTTCGAGATTTTAGCGAGTCATGAATCAGTCTTCCTAAGATTCTGGTGACTTTGTGCTAAATATAATGTATTTCACTGATGCATTTTTGTATAATTACATTAAGTGGCATGAGCATTATGATGGTTACGTATAGAGCTTTGTGTTCCTGAGTATATCCATTAACCTCCGTTCTCAATACTTGCTCTGTACGGTTAAAAATCTTTTTTTGTTGTTTTGACCATCTTTTTTTTACCTAAAGAATTCTCTGCGTGGAGTATTTTTGGCCAGATATGATAGTCGACGTGCGTCAAATACGTTTTAACTCTTTCACGAGTAGAATTTTACAAAGAACGAATTTTTTGCTGCAGGAGCGTGGGACAAGAGTTCTGCGTGAATTTCTCTTATTTCTGGTCGCTTAAATTCTTTGCAGCATGCAGTTTTTCGCAACCTTTACAGTATCAGGGACCAGACAAGGGAAGTTTCCTTGCTGCAGCTTCTAAGAAAAGTTGATCATCGCGAGTGGTGAAAATTACTTGATTTCAAATTTTTTTGCTAGTTGTTAGAATAACTTTTTTTTGAAATTATTAGGTGATTACAGTCGATGAAAATTTGAGTATGCAACCGGTAGCTTTTAGCGCTAGGCAGCTTAGGAACTTTAGGACCTTGAATCGTTAGGCTTTTCTTTGGAATAAAATAGCGGTTTAGTGTATTGTTATCACGTTGAGCGTTGCGATCCTGTATATAGCGCCTGAGTTTTAGATAATCAAAGATTTCCAATTATTTTATAGGTTGTCAATTTTTAGTGTACAAAGTATAAGATTTCTTTGAATAAAGTAGAAATACAGTTTGGTGAGTTTAGAGCTCTTTTCTGGGCTTTTAGGTAAAACTTCTGTGAGAGCAATAATTGAGATTATATTATTAGTTGTCAATTTCTCAATTTCATATAACACTGGCCTCTTGATCGCCAACTGTAAGGAAGTTTTTGAGCTGAATTAGGAAAGTCAAGCTGAACAATTCTTTTTAACACCTATCTACTATTTTTAAATTGGATGAATATCACACCTCGAAATTTTCCAGTTTTAGGTGCGTATTTTGGGAACCACTGATTTACTGTTAGAGGTTATGTAGGCTCCACACATTAGCTTGCCAGCAATGCGTTGTAATAGTTTCTAGTCGATCGACAGAGTGTGGATACTGTTTTACAGAGGAAGGGCCTAAGTGGTAGACCGACTTGAGAAATACAGCAGGAAAAAAGAATTAATGCTGTCTGGAAATCTAACCGGCATTTCCGGATTAGGGACTGTAACACATCTGTTATACCACATGTAAAGTAGCCGACTGTCGGACAAAGGGGATTGAACGGCGGACACAATTTTTAGCGGTGAATCCGTAAAAAGTCAGAAAGAGTAGACACGTGATCGCCTTTTACAAAAAGCTAGAGGAAATCGTTAGCGGGAAATATCTTTCATGATGATTAGCTTAAGGAAAATAGATTTTAAAGTTTTTGTTTTCTAGAATTTTAAGACGCAGAGTTACTGTTGAGTCACTTGTAACTGTTGAACATGAACACCTACAGTAAATTTTATTGGTAAAACTGCTGGAAATTTTATGTTACCATTTTCTATTGTAGGGTTTTTGATATGCTTCGAAAACCTTCGAGGTTGAAAGCTGGGTACAGTTATTATTTACTTAAAATAGATGAAAGTCCCCATACAATTGAAGAGAACGAAAACGGTGGAAGATGGGTTGTAGAAATCACTCGTGGTTCTGTAGCTGCCAATTTCTCATGGCTAACACTTGTCCTCTCGTTGTTGTTGAATCGATTTCGGATCTTTGATGACGACATCGTTGGTGGTGTTATAGAAGTTTTTCGAAAATCTTTCCAGGTTTTGTTTCGCTTTTTTTTTGGCAGATATTTGATTGATATTCTTTAAATTGACTGCTTTGAAGCGCGCGAATTATAAAAGGGTAGTGTTTTTTATTTTTTAGAGTACCCGAGCATTACTGAAATAAAAACCTTTTGTGTTTTAATGATTTATTGGTTCTATTTTATACGAAGGGAGATTCTATATGTTCATTTTTTGCAGTAAAAAGTTTTAGTGGAAAATTTAGAATTAGACTAGTTCAACCTCAAAAAGAAAGTAATTATTTTGCTGGATTCTATGGTGTCACTGAAAACAAATAATTCCTAATTCAAGTTTAAGGCAAAATTTGGATGTGTTTTTATTGCACTTGATACAGGGTAGAAATTTAAGCGAAGTAAGTACTTGAAATAATGCTTAAGTTTTTCAGTAAGGTACGCCTGTCGCTTTGAATTGGAAAGTGGTACTTAAGTTACATATCAGAAGTGGATGAAAATTTGTTAAATACTACTGTATAGTGTTTAAAAATTTGTTAAGAGTAAGTTATGTAACAAAATTGCGGTGTACTGCAGATCGTGCCACTAATTTGTCGCCTGAACGTGGCCTTTGTGTCACTTTATTGCGCAAACTAAAAAAGAAAAGTTTTCCTTCAAGTCTTTGCCTCTTTTGTTTAATTCATTTTAATTTTTTATGTCAGATATAGTTTTGAATTAGACACTTTGTTGCAGTGTCAGTTGAAATTTAGCTATAATTCTGGTGAAGTTTTTAAAAATAAATTTTACATAACCGGTTTTGCACAAAACTGTGCTAAACAAACCATAAGTTTCAAGTGGAGTTCAAATTTGTGGCACATATTCCTGTACTAGTGAGGTACGAAGAGATGATTTGCTCAGTACTTTTGAGGTCAACACGTGTTACTTACTTTGGGAAAGTTATTGTTCAGTTTGGAATAGGGTTATTATACTTTTGAAGTGCAGTTTTAATTTAAGATCTTCGTAGAATATTAAAATATTTTTTTAGATTTATTTTCGTGTCTTTACTACTGAGGCTTACGGTTATTTATTACTGCGTTCTTCAGATATCTCTCTGGAACAGTGACAATTCCAATGTCGTAAGAATTCTGAAAATTGGCAAAATTCTAAAAAGTGAATTTGATCGAGTAGCTGACAGCTGGGCTTTACATTACGAGACGCAAAAGGTACGTGATAACTCTAAGAATATACCGTTACAGTAAATAATCACCGCGAAAACATTAGACGATGATCATAGTAGGTATGTAAAAAGTCAAAATCAGTAGCTAGGTGCAAGCTTTCATCTACATTTGTACTTTGGACAATGCAAGGCTTATCGGATGCTTTTCACTATGATGACAATCAGTGATGCCAATCGGCTGGCGGATTTATAAAATGCCATGCTTTCTTATTTCTTAATGCTGATATCATTCATTAGAAATTTCTATGTTCTAAAACCGACTACAGTTGCCTTCAAAGCAGAAATTCAGCTATAAAACTGCACTTGGTCATTTACAAAATTTAAAGTAACTGAAAAGTTTTAGCCTTTTTTTGACATTTATGTATGCTGTTTAAATAGTTTGCGCATTTTTTCAATTGTGATTTAGATGTTTAATTTAAAAAAATACCAGTTTTTTTATTTCTTGATTTCAAGAATTTGAGATGTTTTTGCAGTCTCCATTATTGTAGAACCATCAGTGAGAGTTTACAGAGGGTAACAGCAAAAAACTGATATATGGTCAGAACAGTCATCTTTTTCCAACCGAAAGTGGGTTTGGTGAAAGAAATGAGATGTCTTTCAGTGAAGCCAAACATTATTGTTAGATGCCCATGAATAATACCGAAAAAGTTTTATTAACCAACGTTTTAATCGCCATGTAGGGTTGTGGACTCAAAACACTACGTAATAGTTCACTGAAGAAAATCTCTGAAGAGTCCTTCAGTTTCCTCATTTACCCAGTACTCACACGATGCTCTCCGTTGCTTTTTTGATTTGTCAAGGGCATTCGCTTTTGGCACAAAAAATGGAAAAATGGTTTAAAAAGATCATGGCGCGTTATTATGTCCTATTGCAGTCTTGTTTGCCTATTCTTAGATGTGCTTTCTTTTTCGGGTAAAAGTGCTTGATTTTTTGTGTAATGGATTTTAAAGCCTACTCCATCGCTTCGTAGCAGTATCGGGGATGTTCAATTACTTGTTCCTCTCTTTACAAAGGACCGGTGATAGATTGTAGTTTTGACTCTTATGCAGTCTCAAATTAAACGCAGGACGTTTAATTAGAGATAGTAGTACCTACATATTATAGAAATCTTAAAGTTCAGGAGGAGTGAGGCCTACTTTCTTACAAATTTTGGTCTTATAGCTTTTTTTTTACGTATCTCGATAACTCTGCGGTTAACTCAGTAATACCGACTGAGCCACAGGATTTCAGCCGGTTGTTGTTTCTTAATTCAGTGTATTCAGTGATCAAAGAAATTTTTGGGTAAGTGTTTTGAGAATGAGCATTTATATGTGTAGGTCATTTACGTAAATTACGTGTTCTGATCTTCACTAGACGGCAGTTACGGGGAATAATTTCAGGACATTTTTGAAGCATTTCTGGTTGGTTTTATTTTTGTCTTTTGCTGAGTTGTGAAAACGACTGAACTAAGCTCTGCTATAGCAGGAGAATTGACAATGAGTAAAACAGAAAATAAAAAAAGGATCTTACCTGGCGATGTACGATTACGGAAAAAATAAATTTAGAAGCTGGGGAAAAGTAGACAGACTTACTTGAAACTGCTGTGGGTCAATGGAGTGCAGTAATCTATTAAGAAAAGCTGAAAGTGGATTAATGACAAAAAAAAAGTTTGAGGTTGAACTTCTTCAACTGCATTGACACTTCTTTCAAACTTTGATGAATTAACCTAGCCGTTAGTGAGTGGCTAGCAAGTTTGATTGATTAAGCACTGCTGTTTCAACTTAATCTTTTTGTGCTTGGTAAAAGGTATCAAACGGCTTATGCAAATATTTGATATTTAGTCTCCTACGATCAATAATACTCTCAGTCTTATAAAACTTGCACAGTTGCTACACATTTACCATGAAGAGTTGACGTTAAGACGTTACGCTATTGTCGAATACAACAGAATCATATCCTCGAGTAGAATTAAAAACTTGAATTTTGCAGAATAATTTTCCCACAAGAGAATCTCAGATCAAAACAGTGTAGTTTGATTCAGCTATATAAGTAATGTGTAGATATTTCTATTTCTAGTTCTATTTATCAAAGAAGAATTTTTGCTCGCAACGTCATAAACTTCTCTATGATGATGATGTGCTAAAAAACCGTTGGACATTATACCTTTACACGCAAAATGAATCTTCGGACTGGACAGACTGCTTTAAAACAATAGGCGTATTCGATATCTTACAAGAATTTTGGAAGTATGTAAACCGTTCAATCTTCCTATCGTTTTCGTCGAAAATATGTGACTTATTAATGCTACTGTGGTACAAGTAAATTTACTTTCTTCACACAAATAGAAAATTTGAGGTTTTTAATCTCGAGTTTCGTTTCATTTTTTTTCTAAACGTTTTTTTATTTCAAAACTTATTTTATGATAGCAAAGGATCTTTTTTTACTGATTGAGAACATATGGAGGAATTTCCTGCCAGGTTAAGTCCCACTTCTCTGCACTTTCTTTAAATTCGCATTGTAGGGGGACAGTGGACTTTGGATAGATCCCTCTGAGGTGTTTATTTGACTAATCTACGTTATTTGACTGTGTTTTTAGTGTCTTTTAACGTAGAAGAATCTGAATCATTGGATATGTAATTCTGTGTATACTCGCCTAGGCTCTAGCATCGTTAATTTTTTAATGTTTTTTGCAAACGCCTTAATCTTAATTGATTTCGGATTCTGATTTTTATGATCTTTGGAGCTTCAATATTATTTGGTGGTGAAGGTTTTTGAGGATTGATGTTAATTTTTATAATCAGTGAGCGCATCGTTCTCAAATTTTGTAGGACGTGGTGGTATTTTAAAACTTAGGAGAAGCTAGTGAGTACTGAAATTAGTAGCATTACCATCAAGTTCATTAGGTGTATATTTGTCATGTTCCTCTTTCTTCTTAAAGTTTTTCTCTGGAAGAATCTTATAACTGTGGTGTTAGTTTGAATATCAGTATAATTATAGATTTTTAAAAGTGACGTCTTCACTTATAACAACTCAAGTGCCTAAAAATTCTCATTTTTTCTGTGACAGTATGCAACAGGGCTGGTAAATGGATTCCTATATATAAATTTCTTTTGAAAGCTGCATGTTCGTCGGTTTTAGTCTCATCTTGACTGTAATATTGTTCTACATTTCACTAAACAATAATTCTCTCAAACCTTTTTATTTAAATTGGCTTCTATTGCTTGAAAATAGTAATCTTATAAATGTGGTTTGAAGTTTTAGTTCTAGATTATTTATACTTTTAGAGAGCAAGAATTTGTTGATTCGATTCAAAGTTTTTTGCTTATTTGCCGCTTTTGGTGTTCTCTGCTGAGTTCTTCTAGTTCATAACGGAACAAGTAAAACATTTAGTTAGAAAATTGTATTTTTAATAAATTCTGTGCCGTTGTTGATAGTGGACTTGGTTATTGAGAAAGATGAATATTTTTGAATTAAAAGAGAACGGTTTGTAACGAAAAAAACTGCTTGAAAAGTGTGCAGCGTTGATGTTTCATTGCTTATTCATCAAGTTGTGGTGGGAGAGTAGTGGAGCAGCGCTGAAAAAGATTAATATTTTTGCGGCGAGCAGAGGTGAATAGGTTTCAAAGTAGGGAAATAACATTGGTTTTTGCGGTTGTTCTTTAAGGTATTGTCGTTCTCAAAATTTTTAACTTGCTGTTTCATTGTTAACAGTGTACGACTGCCAGTGACAAAAAAGTAATTAGAATTTATAAAAGAAATAAGCACCGTTAAGCATTGAGCAGAGCCAAATATAGGTTACCAGTAAAAGAACAGTATCAAACGTTGATTAACTTCATTTCTACATTTTTTCGTAAATGTGCATATCGGTACACTGCTACGTCTTCAGGCAAATCAGTACTCTTGAGAAGCCATGCTCAGGAACGGCATATTATTGTTTCAAAAGTACGATAAGGCCTAACTGGGACGATGTAAATAACGTTAACGGTGGCAGATGGGCTATTGATGTAAGTCGTCAAGAAGTTCCAGTACTTTTGGATTTTTACTGGCTATCGCTTCTTCTTGCTCTTTTGCTGGATCGCTTTGGAGAACTTGACGACTGCATCTGTGGTGCTGTTGTAAGGTACAAGAGAAAACGGTGCAAAGTAAGTTATTTTTTGGAAGGGCTGACCTCTAGACTTTTGAGAGACTGATTCGAAGAATAGTAATGCTTTGTTCTGTTATTGCGGCGGATCAGTAGTAGGAAGAGGAGGAAGGTTCTTGAAGTAATAAAGATGGTTGCATTTGGACAATTTTTTGTCTTTGAAAAAACTGACTTGCCAGTTATAAATGATTTAGTAACACTACCAAACGTAATTGTAAAACGTTTACTGTAATCTTTTTTTTGACGCTGTTTTGTTTTATTCAAAACAGCTCTAAAGATTTTAATAATGCATGGATATGTGGATGTACGAAAACGGATTGAATTCTTAAATGCTGGATAAACGTCGTGCAGTACTCATTAGGTTTCACTGTGGACGAGAGAAATTGAGGGCGAAACTTTATCGTTGATAGGTGAAGTGATGAAGCGCGAGCTATTGTTAACTGATGACAGGAAGTTATACTATGAGAAACATGAGGTAATTTAACTTAATAATTGATAGATTTTTTCTTCATTGTGAGCAGTTACGATTACATGATGATTCTTTTGAAAAATTGTTTTGGAATTTCCTTATCCTGCAGTGGAGCAATGGAAATAATAATGAGAAAGCAAACTTTTACTTTGTTTTATTGTAATGTTGTGGAAGCTACGTATTTTTTTCCAGAACGCACGATTTCGCTCGGACTCTCACATAAAACCTTTGCTTCAGATTCCATCTGTCTCGACAGTTTAAAAAGGTTTGTTTGATGAACAGTATTGATACGTGATCATTAAGCACCTGTTGACTCTATTGTACAGAGCTGGTAGACATAAATTTTTTGAAAGTGCTTCACAAAAACAGCAATCTTTTCAAAGCAAATTTTCGTGAAATCTGGAGCTTAGCAAGTGGTGCATTGAAAACTGCCATACCTGTAGGCGAAGACTAGTAGGGTCATGAACGTGTTTTATCGCATGTCAGCCTAAGTATCCGGTACCGTTCTCGTTTCTGCTCACTTTTTTTAGGTTTATCTAGCAAAGATTGAAGCTTTAGGACTGTTGTTTTATCTATTAATGTGTTCTTAATAGCTGTATTAAGATGGCTGGTAGTCGTCTTTGGGGTTATTGTGAAAAAGCCTCTTGGGGCTAGAAATATTAGAAATCAAAAGGATTTTGTAAACACAAAGAACAAATTTTTTTCATTTAGTTGTTATTTAATCTCTGATAGAATTTTTCATGATTTTTCGTGTTAATTCTGATTATGTCTAAGCTTTCCCGCACGTAAGCACTCGGTATGACGCTTGCCATACGGGCCGAGAAAAAGTGCTGTACGCATCGCTCGTAAAACTAGTTGCTTGGTTTGCCCGTCAGTTGTTGCGACAGAGGATAAAGGGTTGATGACAAATGTGGAACTTCGTTTGTTAACGTGCCAGGTATACAGTGCTCATTTTTGAGCAGAAAAGTTGGAATTTTGTATAAGACGAAAGAATTGCATCATGTGATTAAAGAGTATTTGCTTAATTAATTTAACTGTTTCGACGAGAAAACCAGGCAGGGGAAAATGATTACTACTATGTAGAGGTTTTAGACACTTCATTTAAAACACTAAAATGGACTTCCTTTGAAGGTTTTTTATAGTGCCTATTGTAAACCAGTCAAGAAGGTATAAATATTATGATGGATCTGACATTTTTTTTTTTTTTTTTTGAGTCTTCGTCAGTTGTCGATCAAATCCCCACTTGGAGACGTGAAACTGCATCTGTTGAGCTTGCTTGTAAGATATTGCTTGTTGTTTTTGTGTTTTGGTAAAAAAATCGATTGGATTTTGTATGTTTATTTTAGTTTCTGGAGAGTTTTGAAGCGTCAAATTAGATGCAGTAGAATTGTTGATAATTTATTTTTACCACTCGTTTCTCGGGCAATCTCGAAATTTATTCGTTTTCAAGCGAGAATTTCAACTGGCAGTGGAGAAGTTAAAGCATTTTCTGTTTTTATTGTCTACCTCTAGATTGTTGCATTAAGGTGGAATGATGTTAACATATGTTGTGGTTCAGGATGAATAGTGAGCTTGAATTTTGAATCTCCACGGTCATAAAATTTTTCAACATCAGTTTTTGCTGAGTGAGACTGCGTTGCCAATTCTACTCTTAAACTTTCTGTGCTTTGAATCCCATCAAATTATTTTTTTGGTTTTTTTCTCTTCAAGATTGTCGTCCTATTTATTTTTTCTTCGTTTTTCTTTGATATGGATGCTTCTTGACACATATCTTATTCAGTAAGTTAAGCATTTCCTACGTTCAGCAACGGTGGCGAATAGTTTTAAAGGGAAAATTTTTTGTTCAAGAAAAGTACACTCTTTATTTTTATCTTTAACTTTAAGTTTTGCTGTAGAGGCTCTCTCAGCTGATGAATCGGACAATGGAAATGGATAATTGCATAAAGACAGCATTACTTCTTTGAAGCTGTCTTTTATCGTTTGCTTTAAACTATATAGCAAACGGGCAATTTCAAAACGACTTGTTTGTATGTACACGGATTTGCTCGCTTGTGCCATTAGGTGCCCGGAAATGCTCGTTTTATGTCAACGTTGGTACGACTACTATTATTGGTCTAGATTCTGGGGTTCAAATCTGATGGACATTTACCGCAAGGGTGCGCTGGGAAAACCTTAAAAAGTTGAACTGTAAATGGAATTAATAAAATTGCTCCCTGGCTTTTCAAAAATTTAATGTTGCAAAGATGTACATTATTGAGTTTTATTTAGAAGACTACTAAATTATTGGTTTTATCGCACTTGCATTGATCTTGAAATCTCTTATTGACACTGTTAACAGTCATTACGGTTGTTCAAAATCAACTCGTTGAAAAAGAATTTTGCAGATGGTATTATGCATCATACAGAATTTTTGGTGAACGATTTTACTTTGCCATAAAAAGTATCTGACCCTCAGTTTATAATAAAGTTTGCAAAGAAGATTATTCTTCACGATACACAATTGGGTTCATTTCCAGTCCCCACCTTTTAAATTGGTATAAGATTTATTAGTCTCTGTTTCAGTGTTGATGTCACCAAAGATTATTGTAAAACCAGCGCCATTTGGATCGTGGAATTTATTTGAAATAGTACGATTATTCAGTAGCAACTCTTAAGTGCCATTATACTGTTGAACAAATTCACAAATGACTTCCAAATACATTGCTTTACAGAATGCGTCAATTTCACTTATCTTTCAGCTAAGGCATGAAGCAGTCGGCAGTATAATATTAAAGTGAATGGAATTAAACGAAGAGTTGCATTAGAAGAGCTGTTTACAGGGAAGCTAAAAAAATCGCTTCTTTTTTAGACTAGTTATCCACCTCACGACGATTTTTTGGTCAAAAAATTGTATTTTGGTACAACATACAGTTATCATATGCGACGTGTTTTATTTGCTGTACACGGTAAAGAATATCTCTTGACTGTTTTATCAAAGAAGATGGAGGATATCGATGGGTCGCTAGAATTTGGTTGCTGTATGTGGCGGCGTAGCCTATCACTTTACATAAAATTTGTTCTTTCAAGGTCAGTAAGGGAAAGGTTAATTTATTGATGGTTGAAATTGATTTGCTATCAGTGCTTTGTGAACAGGACGACCAGAACTGCGGCTATTGGATGATACATGTATCACTGAGCTCAGGAATATCAATTTTTGAAGGTCAAACTTGTGAGGTTGCTGCGAGAAAGAAGGATATTTGTTGTGATACTGTTCGTTCAGTGCCTGTGAACAAAAAGTGTTGGTGGGTCGTGAGTTCTGCAAATGTACTTTTGACTTGCGTCATAGTTTTTAAAAATAGAGTCATGGAGTTGTTACAGAAGGAAAGCTAACATAAATGTTTGTTTCTTCTTTGTATTTCGAAGTTTCTTGCTAACTCTGCAGAAGTATGAGCGATTTTTCAAAAGTGGTCTGCGGTATATTTATTGAATAATTGGTTTTTTCTTTGGTACATTGTATTTGTTAAAAGGTCGTTTTGTAAATGCTTGGATCGTGGCTGCGATTGTTGGAATTAATAGTAGTAGCTTGAGCAGGAGAGCTGACAGTGCAGCGATTAAAAGTATTTAGTGTTTGTTAGACGAGAGCGGACATGGTTATGAATACAGTTCTTATATGTAGCACTACGCTGGATACCTTCATTTCTTGTTAGTAGGTTTTTATGGCTTTCGTAGAAATATCAAAATAATGATTCTTGATTTTAGACGGATACTGCATTAGTTTTATTTATCTTTGTCTGATGTCTCAGGGGTAACAAAAGATAATGTTGAAGATTTATGTGCTTGTTTTCTATAGACGTATACATGTCAAAAAAATGCCTTGAAGTTCGGCGATGTATTGACAGAAATCAACAGTTGAGCATCTGCAAGTCAGTAAAGTATCAAGTACTTGTGGTTCGTTCTAAAATTTTGAATTACCTTGTGCACATACTTTTTTTGCAGCTCTGCCTTGTTCTTTGTCAATATTATCAGTCAATTTCAATACTTGGAATAACCTGACAAGTTTTAAAATGACTTTGATGGTTTTTTTACAGAGAGGCCAGAAAAAAATTTCAAGATTACTGTAAAAGAGTAGGTGAGTTAAATGGATAAATGGTTTCAAGGAAACAAATAGCAGCGTTACAGTATTTCCTAATCTTTTTCCTTATTCTGAGTTTGTTTATCGGTTCGTTAGCTCAGAAAATTTCGTGTGTTCTAATTAAATGAAACACTATGGTATTGAACAGGAAGAAAAAAATAGAAAAACTAGAAAATTTATAATTAGTGCCGTTTAAAAATTTGAATTGTTGAATCTGTTTTACGGTAGTTACACATTTTTAACGTTAAGATTAAAGGTACTTCTGTTTCTGCATACTGTTATTGTCCTTATTCTGTCTTATCGGATTACACTTTAGGCACAGCTGTAATTTTTAACCTTTTCTAATTCTGAACCACTTTAAAAAAAAAAAAAAGAAAAAAAAAAAAGAACACATGCACACCTACCAACTTAAAAGTTTTATTAATATTAATACTTTTAGCATTAACTGTTTTTTCAGGTTTTAATCTTCATATTCAGTAGACTGAAAACAGTTGTTTGCTAAAATAAAATAAAGAACTTTCTTTGTTAATTAGTCTTATGGTATAATTTATGTTGCTGTAAAGGCAAATAAGTGTTAAAAAAGACGTCAAGTAAACAGTTCATCGAGCGGGATATTTTATTTGATTTTATTGAATTTAAATGAATAAAAAATTTATATATTTGATTGTAAACAGTTTCCTGCATCAATTAAAACAACGAAAACAAAATGTGAAAATCGATGACAGCTGAATCATTTTTGCCATTTTTGTGTCAAGAAAAAAGAAAGACTTAGCAAAATTAGCTGAGCTTTTTCGGTGTTTGATGTTTTTTTCCTATCTTTTTCATTTCTTAAATCCGTCTAGTTTTTTTTCGTCTATCTAAACATTGCCGCACAACAACAACGAAAAGCTGGTTAATCTATTATTTGTCTATTTTTTTCAGGTTTTTTTTGCAGTAGAAAAAAAAAACAAACTAGAAAGATAAGAAAAAACACGGCTTAAAGGAAAGCAGTGCAGTGTATCTGAGGTTTCCAAAAATGTCACTGGGTATAAGGGTTTTAGACAATTAGGTCAGCCTAAGTTTTCTGATTTCTGTCAACAGATAGATGTCATTGACAATGCTGTAGGAAATGTCAGAAACAATTTTGTGACAATTTTAATTAACAAAACTT